TCTATCTATCTATCTATCTATCTATCCATCTATCTCTATCTCGCGTGCGCGCGCACAGTAGTTGTTTCCCGCGCAACCTCTTCCCCGCGAGCATCCCGTTTCCCCGTGCGCAGTTCGTGCGACCGCAGTCGCGGCTTTTACCGATTGTAGAGTCGAACTAGAGTCAGGCCCAACAGGATCTTCTTTCCCACCGATTCTTCCAAGTCCGCTTCCTCGATTCTTCCAAGTCCGCTTCCTCAGTTGTGGTTTCGCAAGCGGGTAGATACGGGCAGTGGTGAGTCACTAATTTGATGACGGGGCGTTGGCTTCTTTCCCCGTCGATTCTTCTCAGCACGTTTCCCTCGCTGTGGCCTCGCACGACGGAGATAGGACAATGGGAATCTCGTCAATCCATTCATGCGCGTCACTAATTAGATGACGAGGCATCCGTTTCCCGGCGGTAGATAGGGACAATGGGAATCTCGTCAATCCACTCACGCGCTTCACTAAATAGGTTCTCAGTCACTTGGTTGTGGTTTCACAGGATGGTAGATAGGACAGTGGGAATCTCGATAATCCAATCTTGCACGTCACTAATTAGGTGACGTGCCATTTGGCTACCTTGAGAGAGTCATAGTTACTCCCGCTGTTCGCCCACGCAGGTTAGAATCTCTTCACCTTGGCATTCAAAGCACTGGGCAGGAATCACATTGTGTCAACACCTGTTGAGACCATCGCGAAGCTTAGAGTTCTCCCTGCACGCAACAGCCCTCCTCCCGCGGCAGCTCGTTCGTTGCACGAAAGCTCTTTCCTTCCCGCTAACGCCCTTCGCTCTCCGCCCGTCCGTTTGCATGACTGCGCGCTCTTCCCTGAGCTTTCCGCGCGTGCTATCGTGTGTGCTGCAGCCCGCGCGCTCGAGCTCGCCCCTCCAACTCCTAGCTATGGAGTCAGTCCTATCTCTCTCTTTCCAAAGCGACGTGCGCCCGCGCGATCCTCTGCCTGCTCTCGCACAAGGCTAGTCTAGCTCCGTCTCAAGGGTGCTCCCTTACAAATGAACCCGGCTGCATTTCAGGCTAGATTCATTCTCCCTTTGCGCTGATCTCTCCTTTTTCAACATGCGCAATCTCTTAACTAGTGTGCGACCTTTCCTTCACACACCTCTCTGTTGAGCAGTGCCCTACTCCTGTTCTTGAGTACGTGTCGATCCTCAAGGCGATCAGTGTGCGGGATCACCCCTCTGTGCGCTTGATCTCCTCCAGCATGTCCACTCAACAGCGTCTTCGTGCTCTTGGATTCAGCAGCCCTCGAGATTTGTCTGCATGAATCTCAACATCGCGTGAGTACTTGTTCGTTGCTAGCAAAAGCCTTGTCTTTGGCCCGTACGTGAACAGAAGCACCATGCATGATCAGTTCCCATCCGTTCCATGGATCACTGCTTGCGTCCTCTTTCTCGAGTAATCCTTTCGCAAATAGCTACACCGCTAAGACCATTCGCCCTTTCGTGTGTAGTCAGTGCATGACTGGCCAGCCCGAGAATCCTCGTCCATTGGCTCTCTCATTCGTGCAGGGATCGTATCCTTTCAGTGCCCGGCGTACCTGTTCGTTCCTGGGCACGTGTCCCTCACTCTACCCTCTCCTCGTTCCTTCTGTCCTCCAGCCTCGCCCCTCCGTGCCCTAGTGAGCTAGCCCTTAGCGGGCTAGCCAGTGCGCCAATTCCCCCTGTGCGCTCGCCGGCCCCCGATTATGCCCTTTTTGTGCACTATATATACCCGTTCGCTGGTGGGTACGCAGCAACAAGTACGTTCCGAACCCCCCAGATCGGGAACCCATGCGCCAAGGGACCACCAGCACCCTTCTGTGTGTTGGCACCAGCCACCAGCCCCCCTTGAGCCAGCACCCGTGTGCCAACCCAATGTGCCTCTCCCGTGCGCATCCGAGAAGTGTCCCCCAATCCGGGCCCAGTTGGGCTTATATAGTTTGCTGGGCCCGGCTCCACATGCCTCAATTGTGGCCTCAACCTCCCAAGTCTCGAGCGCTGTCGAGAAACTTGCAGCGCCCCGATACCGAGCCTCCTCCCGAACCTAGACCCACCTATTTGGTGCCCCGAAAAGTTACTTGCCAAGCGGGCCTTTTCGTTGGATACCAGGCCATTTGCAGCGCTCTGGTACCAGGCCTATCCCCGAGCCTGATTCCAGGCTTGTCTTGGCCCTTAGTGGAAATTAACAAGGCCAGCTTTTTTTTGTCTGGTACCGGGCCTTTTGCAGCGCTCCAGTACCAGCCCAGTCCCGAGCGTGTGCCCAAGCTTACCCCATCCTCCGAAAAATCACTAGCGGTACCATAGGGCCGTACCATCGGGAAATTGCAGCGGCCTGGTAGCGGATCTCAGTCTCCGCACCTGATTTTGGTGCCCGGATCTAACCGCAGTAAATTAGGGCACCCATTAATCTTTCGAGCCCCAGCCCTCAGGCTCTTGATCCCGTCAAAAACGGACGAACTCGACGACGTAGCGCCCAAAGACTCGTCACACTTTGACGGGAGGCCCGACGCAACTCTTGAGATAACTTCACTTCATAATTATAATTCGACGGTGGTCATGAGTTTCGGTCACCTGATCAGCGTACCGCGATTTGCATTAGAATTGCCTGTTTTATTGAAATAATAAATTATCCAGTTACCATCGAGCCTGGGTAAACTCATCCTTCTTGACCAGTATTTTGCCATACTCTCGCCTGAACTTGGTTTTCCCCTTGTCGTCCATCCCTCATCAGCCAATCGACTCTCGTCCGCTCGATCCGCAAGGTGAAAGCCGTTGGCACAGGCCACTGTGCGAAATCCGGCCTCAACTGTAGACTCTTCAAAGGAAGTAAAGGGCGGCGTACGGCTTGGGCCGCCCGACAACGGCCTAACAGGTAGACACAAAAGAAAGGAGGTTGTGGCATTCCACACATCAGTAGGCACTGGCTGCCAGCGCTAGATTCTGCCTGAGCTCATAGTGGTCGGTCCAGCACACACACGAGGAAGCAGGGGGGAGCAACCACATCAATCTGCTCCGCCCAGCGGCAGCTATAGCTGTGAGGGCAAAGGAAGTGAGTCTGAGCTGAGTCTCACAGTTTTTTACCACCAACGATAATGAGAAAAGCTACGATTTGATTCAGCTAATTCATTCCAGGTTGAGATGTGGAGGGATTCCCAGCCTCCTTTTGCATCAATAATAAAGAAATGTGTTCCTTGAAATTAATAAAAAAAAAAAAAAAAAAAAAAGATCATCTCGTTTTTTTTCCTAGCAAATCCCTGTTCTTTGGAAGCATCCTTTATTTCGTCAGGTAAAGACTGATCTATAGTTTTCTAAACTTATCTTTTTTTTGTGGGGGGGGGTCAAACGTCGTCTCAACAAGGCGCCTTCAAGAATCCACCGAAGAGGCGAGGGGTTCCTTGACGACTCTTTGGCGATAATGGATGGGACAAATTGGGTGGTCCCGGTGATTCTGACATTTCTTTACTTAGGTGCCTATCTCATACGGTAAGGAGAGGACTCCTGTAATCACCAAGGCTGTGAAAGTGGGAACTGCTGGTACTCACCAGGTGATGGCCAAGGAGCATATTCGTAGTGGTTAGTACCTAAAAGACTGAATAAAAAAGGAACAATCTTTGGAAAGAAGGTCCAAGAATTCAACCGAAATGAAATGATTGAATGAATACAAAATGTAGCTAATACCCAAGGCATCAAAGATGCATTTTCTACAGGATTTGCTGGGCGAGATGATTTTTTTTGGGGGGGGGGGGAGAGAGAGAGAGAGAGAGAGAGAGAGAGAGAGAGAGAGAGAGAGAAGTGGGAGGTGTACAGAGAGAGAGAGAGTAGGAGAGTAGCACAGCCGATCACATCATACTAGAGCTGTTACATTGTTGTTGTATTGATGATTGGAGGTAAGAAGTTACTTGTGTGCTCATTTGGTGTGTGCTGTCAGCTTTGTAATTCCGGTTTCGGCTTTGCCCATATATGTCTTTTGTAGCTCAGAAAATTTACATTCCCATTGATTGCGTCCTTGCACCTGGAGGTATACTACACATCAGGCCCGCGGCCATCCATGTCATCCGTACATATGGACACAACACGGCAGCCTGGTAGCATAGGTTTGAGGGGCTATACCCCCCTTGAATTAGGGTTTAGCAAATGACGACAATGGAAGCAAAAAAAGTAGGTGTGTGTGTAAACTGAAACAGTATTCACCTGTTAGCAGTAGCAAATGCAGATCCCAGGGCTCGATCCCTAGTTATTACCTTACCTGTGTACAGAACCTGTGTCGACCCCGAGAGTTGAACGCGTGACCTGTGTATTCACAACAGTTGGTAGGCTGCCGTAGGTCCATAGGTTGTAGGGGTTCGATCTGTAGACCTGTCGGATAGAGGTCTTAGGTTCTAGAAGTCGTAGCTGTAGGATTTCTGAAAGGTCAAGGTCGTAGCTGCTACAGTGTCGAAGGGCCAAGTCCACAGACTTCCAGAAGGTCCGAAAGTGGCCCTTCAAACGTTGCTCACAGCAGACCAGAGGCAAGTGGGCAAGTGGTGAGGTCCACCTATGCTGAGTAAGGGGTACCCAGTCCCAGTCTCACTTAGTTCAGTCAGCAAGTACCATGTGGGACTGTCTGCACTCAAGGCTCGGTGGAAAAGAGGCAGACCAGCCACAAACAGAAGTATAAATCAAGAGGCCACGCCCAGCCATTCATTCATTCCTGCGTAAGCCATGCGGAAGTGTTGCTTGAGCAACTTGTGCGAGGTGGTCTGCAGAGCGCCCGAAGACGAAGTGGAGGAGAGGTTGCGTAGCCATAGCCAGCAGGGTTAAGCGGCCATAGCTGCCGTAGGTGGTAGGCGAGTGTAGTGTGTGCGTGGGTGTGATACAGTGTGTCGCGTGTGGGATATCCAGGGTGATCCTGAGTTGAGTGTGTGTGAACAGCAGAGTGGGACACAGTGACGAACAGAGAGTTGTGCAGGCGTTGATGCGCCATAGCCTGTTGAAGTGAGCATGTATCTGAACTGTGTTTCCGGTTTCCATATCTCTGAGCTTTGAGTGGGCGCTGAGCGCCAGGGTGACTTGTCATCTGTTTGCATGAATGCGAAGTGGAAAGAAAGCGAGTCTGATTGCAAAACGGCTATTATAACCAAAAAAATAAACTACTACTAAGAATGAAAATGAAAAGCAGAGAGGGAGGGAGAAATATTATTTCAACATACTCGCCCCATAAGTGTGCACTGTCGGCTTGATCCCATCCACCATCGTCATGCTCCGGAAAAGATTGACGGCCTCTTCAAGCAGTCCGTTCCGTGCATACGCAGCGATCATGGCGGTGTAGGGAGAAGATTCACCCTGCGAATCACCTGCTTGGAATTCGTGAAATAATGCCTTGGCTTGATCAATGCGCCGCGCATTGCCCAGCAGAGAGATGACCTTCGCATGAACCCGTCCTTGTCCTTTGAACCACGGTTCGTCCTTCACCCTCTGATATACCTGAAAATTACGAAAGAGGAGGAGGGGGGG